AATGTACATGTGTTATGGATTAAAATTCGTAAACTTACATCTTCAGTAGTTTTCTAGCTATTCTTACAGTAAGGTTCAGTTAAGCGATTATTGGAAATTTCGGAAATGAGGATGTTTGTCCGGTCCGGAATGAGGAACGGTCACCTTCTAGAATGCCACGACGCTTACATTCATGTGAAAATTTTCTGATTTGTGCTGCTTCTACCGCCGGCTATCTGAAAAAGTGATCTTCGCGACCATCCGGTACATTCAAAAAAGGCAATGAATATACCGCCTTATTGCGTGATCCCTTCCCCGAGGCATTATTTATTAAAATAGCAGCATAAGGAGAATCCACAGGTGTATCAATTGCTTCATGTTTTATTTTCTGTTTTCTTAACTGAACGGTTGCGTACAGGTTTGCGGCGATTCAACTGCTTCTAGAGGCCCAGCTCTCAAGGTTGTGTTCCGGGCAGGCACGGTACAATTGAAATGTTGCGCCTAAAACAATGTCAAGTAGGCGAAGATTGTGGGAAACGATGCAAAGCGCGGCTCAAAAATATCCAGTAGTGAAAAGCTCAATCCTAATATGTCAACTTAGACAAATGTCGTTGCATCGATATTTCGTCAAAAGAGATGCACGCGTTTTCATTCATCGCCACGTACTTGAGTGTCGTTGGCCTGTTGCCAAACAGCAGTTCCATATTGGTACTGCTACTTCAAAATCTCCCCTTTTTTTTTTCCAAGATAAAGGCTCTTTTCGCTAACTTCTTGCTGTCCTTGCCACCATATCTGAAGTAAAGTACCCGAAATCGTTGAGCTCACCAGGAAGGCTGAACCACCAAGCCAGTCAATTAGTAACAAATCCTTATAGATGTAACACTCTCATATCAGAGCAGCGAATCAAAAACTACAGCCACGAAGACGAAAATATGATAGTCCTTTTTTTAGACTGACTTCATCTAAATCCTGTTTACCCCCCTTGGGACGACCTGGATCGACGTACCTTGTGACTCACGTTGGTCGACCACAAGCGATACAGCATAAGTCGTGCCAACGTTGACACAATGACGGCAAATGCAGGTCTATTGCAAGTAACAATACTAGTGTGTTGACCCTATGTAATCTTACTGCAGTGAAGTGTTGAAACTCTTTTGAAGGTTCTCTCATCTTGGCAAGTGGCCCAGCTTAAGAACCTGTTATGTAAAGCCTTCATCTAATCTGCCTAGACACTTTTCGCCTGCTAACCCTAAATAAAATGCGTCACCCAAGAAATCATTTCTACTTCTACATCTAACCCTCTCGGTAGCAGACAATCGTTAGTTGTAGAATTACTTTAAACGTTCGCGATAACTAAAGGCCGCTTCCACGACAGGTTTCACCAAGCAGCAATGATAGGTCAGAACGCACAGTCATTCCTCTTACGACGATACGCTAGTTCTCTCTCTCTCTCTTTCTCTCTCTCTCTCTGTCATTAACTCGAAACGTTGTCCTGCTTGGTGCTAAATTAATTTCACGGGACAGATAGCAAAACAGCACTGGCTAGGTGCCGAAATGAAACGGTAATTATAAGCGGGAAAGCACAACTGTTATGGTGGATGAATGCAATAGAGATGTCTAGTCTGACAAACATGTTACCTCGGTCACACTGGTAGCTAGTTAGCTCGTATGGACGTACTCGATTGTGTGGCAGTGCGAAAGATGGTTCCTGTCCCGCAGGTTTGTCGTCTTTATGGCGTACTCATTGAAACGATTGATGAAAAAACGTTGTTACACACAACTGTTATGGGAAGACAACTGAACATTGGTTCTTTTTGTTGGTAGGTTCCTCGTGGCACGCGAACTCCGTCACAGCCGATGAAGACATAACCAGCAATGACCTTCGCTCTGCGCCTGCTGTTGGCTTCAGCTAATATACAATAGGGTCAATATGAAAAAAAGTTAACTCAGTGTCTAAAGTTGTTTACCGTTTATATGCTCTGCGTTTGTTACTAAGAACGTCTCTATTAAATAAATAAACAGAATATAGGATAAAAGAATAGAAGAACTGCAAGGGGTAGCCTACGAGGCCCAATGTAGTAGTACAGTATTGAAGAGAACAGCCGAGGTTATAAAGTGGAAATAAGAAAAAACAAAAGATAGACCCTTAGATAAAAAAAAAAAAGTAGGTTTACACAAGCATAGACTTGACAAGTGAATAGGTGTTAGTTACTTGAGTCCAAGAAAGGTGAGCAGGTAACGATTTCTAAAACGCATTGAAATTTCTATATATATTTTGATAGAATCTTAAGAAATATATAGAACTATCGATTATTGAAAATATGTATAAGGATAATATGAATAATTATACGAAAATGTCTGACGTACCCTTTGTTGCAAGCAGTGCAAATTAGTACAACTCCCTTGTAGACCTTCTAACCAAAAAAATCAAAGTTTTGAGCTCTGATGCTTCATACTGCGGTTAGGTATTAGTTCTACTTCTATATTTAGCTCGTTGAAAAATCTACCCTGCTGAAGCAGCAAACTATTTTCAATAGATACATTTATAGGACCATGGCTTTTCTAGAAAATGCAAGAGCGCCTTTCAAATGCAAAACGTTTCAATAGAACATCAACAAGATATCGAATAATCAAAAAGAAATACTTAAACGTGGAGGACGCTGTTATTATGTTATTACGCTTACCCCTCGTAACACTGTCACTGAAGGCTTCGACGAAATGCCAAGTCTACTGCAATACTGTAAAAGTGCATTCATTCAACCTGTAACTGGTAGCACCTTCATCAACACACAAGGAGAAATGCATCTAGATTTGCAGGATTCTTTAAAATTTGCAGCTTAAAAAAATTATACAAGTTTAGCAATGAGCAAAAGAAATTCAATTGGATTCCACATTGTCTTCCATTAATAGTGTCCTGTTAATCTTCCCGATATTTTGACAACGCTTCTTGCAATGACGGTCACTCGCCCTGCGAGAATACTATTGACCTATTTCGTGAATTTTTTTCCGTATTTGGTTATGGTTTTTGAATACATTTTTTTCTTCTCGCGAACAATATTCGAAAACGTAATTTCATTCAAAGTCGATCGGCGGATAACCAGCTCTTGAATTTTAGACATGACTGTGTTTTCGCAGACAATCCGAGTCACCTCTTTAGACTCCTTGGCGTATCTTTTGCTTTCATAGGGCTTGTATAAAGTGAATCGTTAGCTCCGTTGCGAGAACACAACCGATAGGTATTGAGTCTAGAATTGCATCTTGGTGCAAAAGTTATCTCAGGAATGAACTTCCGACAAAAGAGTGAAATCATTTTTTCAAACCTGGAGCTTGCACCAAGTTCCACACAATTCACACTTAGTATATACAATCTACTAATCTGACATGTGTAGACACCCATTCGTGTGATATGTAGACACAACTACTGGCTGAATGCTCGTAGCTTTTACAGGGTAGTCGAAATGGGGAACAATAAATTTCAAGGAACGTTGGGCCCTGTCAAGAATAAAACTTTTTCCAAGAAATACCTTTTCTTCAAGTTTTCTAAACGGTTGCCCTTCTTCTTTTATTTTCGCATTAATAATACTCTTTGAACATTTACGGAACAATTAATACAAATACACTAAGTGTCGAACTAATAAATAATAAAAAAAATAAATAAAAAAATAATAAAACAACCACCAGGTTGCGTAACTTTTAGAGATGTTTCGTTTACAGCCGCCTGCCTACACCCAGATCCGAGTACTCGCCACCGTAGTAAAAGGCAGCACACGCTTAGTTCACACCTTACGTTCTTCTTAGTTCTAGGCCCATACTCAATACCATTTCGGCTCCAAGGAGAAGCTGAATTTCTTTATGCTTCCAACTGCAAAAGCCGTATGGTTAACTACACGATGTAAATGACTGCGTTAAATAAATGATGGCTATTAAGTTAGATACTTTGGCAGATTATATTCATTACATGTGAACCGTCGTTTGTCGGGCTCACTCCAGCAATTGTAATGACTGCCACTACATATCGGGACGTATACACATCTGGCATACTAGCATCATATATACATATGTAAATTTTACCGTTTCAGTTTATTCTAACGCTTCTTAAACTTATTAATCGCTTTACATTTATTGCACTTTCAACAAGCATTTTTTAAGCTTCTTTCTTTAAGTTTACTTTTGAATGGGTAACTAAAACGCCAGTATTTCCTGTATATTTTACGACGTGATAAGCTGAAGCGAATTGCGTAGCACCGTTTCGCTAGACTCTGCTCAGTAGAGTCGATCTCTTAGTCGAATCGCCAGAACGGGACCACTGATCCGAGAATTTCAACGTATATATTAGATGTACGTTTAAGCGTCTTCGTAAAAAGAAAGAATAATCCTAAATGACTAGAGTAGGTTACATATGATCTGTCATGGCAGTTTGTACTTCATTTTATCCAATAATTAGCCGTCAAACACCCTTCAATCGTCGTAGCTCTGTTTCTTAAAGTAGAACTCGAACATCAATTTTTTTTTCAATTTAAAGGCAAGACAAGACATCACAACAGCCAACGCGAAGGATCGTTCCGTACAGAGATCTTTATCAAAGTACAGCCATCGTTGAAACAATGTACAAATTTCAACGAACTGTATAAGGTATTATGGGTAAACGGATCTCGCTCATTGTCTTCTCTATGTTCATGATAGTTATAGCACACGAATGTTAACTAACATTCGTCTGCACTAAATTGCTTCAAAAATTGCCTTTATTAGTCGTGTGTTAACAACACTGCTAATCTTGACATGTTCCAGAGTTCAGTAAACAGCTCAACCCTATAGGTAGTTACGTGGGAATCCATCTATGAGAAACTAATGTTTCAATTACGTTCGAAGCATTGATTCCGTCATGTTGACCATCCGAGATCGAGAACGGAGCCTATTGTTGGCCCGCCTTTCGTCTGCTTGGGTTCTTTTGTTTGCAAACAGAACACCAAAATTTTGGGGCACCTATGGACGATGCTGTTGTTGATTTTAGAACCGGCGGTCGTTTTGGCAGAGAGTGCCGGTGGCAGCGGTCGGCGGTGATGCCGTTTCGCTGGCGGTTCTTCAGAGGAAGAAAGACAGCAAACTATATTCAGCAACGAGTGTGACTACGTGACAGTGAGGGCTCTCGTTCCGTGCTTAGTAACGCAGTAACAGTAAGTGACAACGCGGGTGTAGTTGATGTCGTTACGCAGTGCTTGAATCGACGAATTGTGGTAGAGTTGTGTTAGTGAACAAAGGAGGGTTTTTTGTGTACCCAAATTCTCCTGACTACGACCCCTGTGGGGCCTGAGGTAAACGAAAAAGAAAATCGAACGCCACGGCGGCTAGCCGCTCGCTCCCCCTAAGAGCCAGATTTGGCTGCTGTATAAGAAAGCTACTGCTGCAAAATCGGCCGTGCGACCTAAACGGCTACCCTGAATAAAATATTGGTGAGTAAAGATCGAAGACGTAGCTTGACTAGAATGAATGGGAGAAAAATAGAAAGAAAGAAGAATGACCTGCTGCCATTTCTTGCCTTTCGGTAAAAACGGATGCGTTAAGAAAATCTCACGCGATTAATGTAGCAGTGATTGTCTAAATTCAGCGGGCCATGGAATACATATGTACGCTGCAATCGTTATTCCTCCGTTGCTTTTGCATAAAGCAAAAAAAAATTGAGAGAAGTGTACGAAGCGTAGTCACAGTATCAGATCATTGTTCTATTACGTAACAATAAGGGCTTGAACATTGAATACAATTTTCGTTGGATGAGGGATTCAAGGGCCTCACTGGTTTGAAGTAGTAATTAATATTAAGTTCGAAGAAGTCATCGGAAAGTTAGTGTGAGAGCTGTCGATGTTCACAGTGTATAGCATCTACTTAAACTGAAAAAATTGTTACCTATAAATACATACACCAAATCTATAACCATGATCCTGTAATTAGAATTTGCAGCTTGCACGAGAGTAGTAATTGTGCCAACAAATGTTTTGTCTAACGGTTGATTTTATTTTTCATTATACTTTCGCCATAAATCATCCATCTTCGATATTTAATAAGTCGTCAATGAAGAAATAAATTATCACGCATCTTAAAAATCCATGAAAAAATATTCTTTCGCGTAAAAGCACTTTAGTAGAATCACAAATGTAGTGCGCGTACCTAGGTTAAGCCACTAATGAGCCCAATGTATAACACTCTGCGCTTCAGGTCTTGATTTTTCGTCTTGCGCAGCTTCGTCATGCCGACCAAGGTTAGTTAACTAATTAGCTTTGAAAATAACTTTGGAAATGTCTTAAAATTCTACTATATCTAATGGAAAAATGACTATCTTACCAACTGTTAATATACGCTTATAATTATACTACTAGTACTTTTATCGCATTGGTGCTTTGTCTTCGGGACACGAAGTAGCTCTTGAGCGGAACGTTAAGAAGAGCAGTGCGGCATGTGCGTTTTAAGGGCTCATTGGTCTGAAGATGTGTTCTAGGGTGCTGACCGATACGCAAGCCAAATTTGTATTGTTATCGCATAAAAATATCCCAATATATTAGCAGATGCTGAAACTGGACTCGAGTTTGTTTCGAGCTGCCAACCTTCAGCATTGCCGCGTGGGAGTGAGACCATGAGATATATTATTAGATCAGTAACGTGTAACAAGTTTTCTTTTATGATTTTGCATGTGCTTTAAATAAATATAGGTTCAGTTTGACAAGTTGGCATTAGATTGGATTGAAGGCGTTTCAGATATCAGCGCAGCAGTCACTCTAAACGAGGTCAAACAAACATATCGATTGACATTTGATCATTGTGTCAACGGTACTTGCAAGTTAGTACTATCGATTTTACTATTCAGGATATACATTCAAAACCGTTTTATACTGTTACAAAAGATGAGTCATATCATGGACTATTTATTTACCTGCTTTATTGTCTGTTTCATTACTATCGCGAATTCAATCATATGAAATATAACATTTATTATAGATTATCATTATATTTAAAATGAAGATATTTTCGTTAATACGTTTTTTTTCTATTGAATAAATAACTCGGTGCCACACAGTATACAGTACACGTATTCCCAACAAAAGATATAGCATGTTTGATACGTATACTTCTGTGGGATCATGGGTCGTATTTCAGACGACCTTGTGCTGCTAATCCGCGTTGTTTATCCGGTCTTAACGGCGCCGGATTGGCAGCTACACTTGATAAAACATTATCTACAGAGGCCCCAGTAAAAGGAGCGCGTCGGGATATTCCGGCAGGACTTCGTAACCTTGGTGCTACCTGCTACGTCAATAGTCTCTTGCAGGTGTGTGGGCTGGATTTTTCATAACTTTTGTCGTCTGCCAGTACCGCAGCTTGGCGTAGTTCTATGGAGGGCAATCTGGTATTAAAAAAAAAAAAAAAAACTAACCTTAAATGTGTAGCCTATCGCGCAGAATGGAAAGGCTAGACAATTAAGGGTTTAACGTGTCTCATTCTGACGGCTTTTAATGTATATATTTACCGATATATTTTAGGTCTGGTTCCATGATCAGGAGTTCCGCAGACTTATTTTGAAATGGGATCGAAATATTGATCCTGGCGAAAGTAAGTTCGTTTACATCTCGTTAAGGATTTCGAAGTAAGTAACCCATTAGGGGACTGGTCCAAAGCATCAGAGTTTGTGTAATGAAGAATGTGTGATCAATGTGGAGTGTAATCATCTTAGTCTTGTAAACCATATCGTTGAGATAAGAATATGAAGTGTTAAATCAAATTCTTTGAGAGAACGTAATGGGATTCGTAAACCACTAAGCTGGTATCTTGCTTTTCTGACGGTTGAATCAAAAGTAATTTTTTTGCTGTTACATTTTAGGCGATTCAACCCCTACTGTGCCACAGACTATTATTGGACATCTGCAGCTGGTATTTGCGCGGCTTCTAAAATCTCCTAAGTACGCATCAAGTGACTAAAAAAAAATTTTACAATATATGTATCAGTTCATGTAAATATTGTATAACAGTGCTTAATTCATGGCTCTCGTCACGCTGTTTTAGTACATGGTAATCCATATCGTCTCTACCTTTTGTTTTAATTAAACCTTGTAACAGTTTAGATTTTTTTTATAGAGATACAGTGGACCCCACGGCGTTTGTCGAGTTTTTAGGCCTTGACATCGACTATCAGCAGGATGCGTCGGAGCTCGCCGACTTGCTCTTCACTCGAATAGTGGAACAGCTTCGTAAGTATTTGAAGGATACGTCCGATAGTACATGATCAGGTATATTGATAATGATTGTGAGATGCGTATTAATGACAATGATACCATTTGATAACAATTTATCGGCTTTCGTTCATTCATTTAGGTATGTACCCAGATCAGTCCTTAGCTAGCGAACTGGAAGAGGTCTTTCGTGGGGAGCTGGTCAACGTCGTTGAGTGCCAACTCTGTAACGGCGCTCGCCGATCCCGTGATGTGTTCTTCCGCCTCAATCTTAATATTCAAGGCGTGCGGAGTATTCAGCAATGCCTGCGAGCGCTTGGACAGGTAGTTTTGCCGGTGGTCCATTCGAGCGTATTTACATATTCAAGGCCATGACAGTATTTCGATACTAGGGACACTGTATTTAAAATAAATATATATGAAATATACTTCAAAAGCTAGTGAGCGCTTACGTACTTCCAGGTATGCAACTTCTCTACATGAGATCGTATGGCATAGCTATTTGACTGTATAAAATTTGATGCACTTTTTATTTTGGCTTGTGTTTTAGAAAAAGAACATGGACTGCGAGTTCCGATGTTACACGTGTTCTGGTACCGGGGGAGCAGCAAGTTACGAAGAACTTGTAGCATTACCACCCGTGCTAAATCTTCAGGTTTGTAATAGCTGCTTTGTATGAACATGGTCAGACGGTTTCAACGTACATCTACTATACTACTAAAAGTCTAAATACCCAGGTTTGCCAGATTCAGAACGACTTGCGGACCAGTGGAATGATTGGGCTGATTTTTCATAAGTTGCTAAAGTTTCATTCGGAAAACGCAGTCTAGAAAATAAGCCAACTGGGCAAATATTGTTGATTTTGCGGAACAAGATTTATTTATATCCACAAAGTGTAGTATCAATTTGGATGGTTGCAATTAAGCTTCTTTCTTGGCAGCAGTTTCTCGTTTTTTGCATTTAAAGATTACACCTCGCTAACGCCTAGAGACACCAAAATGATCATCAGCATCGTCCGCGCTAATGTGTTATCAGATGTAAAAACGTATATTTCTATGAAAACTCTATTGTGTAAATAAATGTGATCAACTTGTGTTACGGGAAAAAAATGTGTTCAAACTAGTTGAACAAACAAATTTTGTGTCTATCAATATTATTACTTAATGACTAGTCGCTATTCGAGGTTAACTATATAATATGATTAATCTTTTACATTTATACAGGTAAAATAAAATGTATTTAATAGTAAAACAGTCTCCGAAGCTTGCGGGTTCTGCTATAGTATTACATATTGCTCACATAGAAGATTAAAAAAAAAACGCAAAGGAAACTTTTTTTAAGTATGTTATGTGCACATACTTTTTCGCCGTATGAAAGTGCTTTATAAGCTCTAAGCACCATTATTCTGAAATGCGTCATTTTTTTATTTGTGTTAAATAGCTTCAGCGATACAGATTCGATATCAAGACTGGAACCCGTAAAAAGATAAAGGCTACGGTGAGGTTCCCCCCTAGACTTGACATGGCAACCTTTGTCAAAGGTTAGTAACATTTTACTCAAAGTTTCATCAGGCACTTTGTGAGAAGATTCTCCGTTCCACTTTAGAAATAACACTTTAGCGATTTATGAAGCATATAAACTAATGAAGTTTAGTAAGGTAATTATTAATGCTCTCAGATTAGAAATCTTTCCTAAAATGTGTATACAGTCGGTTACTCGAATGGGAACATGGGTGAATAGCATTTAGCCAGAAGAGAGTATTACGTAACAGCTAGGCCGATGAAGTACGTTGTATATTCAACGGTAGGACAGATGTAGACACCAAGGGACAGGGTCATCTTCATCAGTTGAACAAAACAACAAATTATCGTATTCTTATGCTGGTAAGCAAGAATGAATAATGTACAAGCATGCTAAAGATCAAGCGAAGTGATGTTACATGGGAATATAACGCCCAACCTAAACAACAGAACTAGCGCAATGAGAAGTTTAAAATGTATGCTCTGTTTTCGACCTCCACAGGGATCCCGGGTCCATTGATATACGATTTGAAAGCCGTTCTAGTCCATCTTGGACAAACGGCCACGTCAGGTCATTACATCGCCAACGTAAAAGTTACGATGCCTCATAGTGAGGACGCCGCATTGTCAACTACTTCAAGATGGTTTAGGTAACATTATTATATAATATTATTACTTTATTCATGAATTAAAAACCGATTTGCTTTACTTTGTCCGCGTAAACTTCTAGTCGGCCACTTAGTGTTAATGTGGTGGCATAAAAGATATTAATGCATAAAAAAAAGTTGCGACTAACTCGGCTCAACGTAATATTAAAAAATATGTGAGATATTTAACTAAGGCTAATTTAAAACAATCAGCTTCTTTGGAGTGCTCAATAATGACTACATACAGATATTACTAAAATCGAGCTTATGAAAATAACTTGGAAATACACTTGTTTAGGTTACAGCGTTCTCAGAGTAAACACGTTTTTGTTTTAGGCTCAATGACGGAACAGTGTCAGAGTCAAAAGGTCGGGCGGAGTTTGACAAAGAGCTGTCGACGGATAATAATGGAGACGCGTCCGGTGAGTGTGGTACAACTGTATCTGCTCAAAACACAAAATTTATGGAAAATTGTCAACAACAATGAACATAAAAACAAGTTGAATACTAATCACAGAATCACTTTGGGATAATTTATAGGTGAGTCGAACGGCCATAAGGGCGAATCGACTAACGGACAGAATTCAGATGGGTCCGATGGAAGTGGCGACGATATTCAAATATTCGAAAAAATGAATCTGACTAGTACTAACAATCAGGCGAGGCACACAATCGCACACAACGAGAATACTCTAAATAATGCCGCAGTCAAACCTGAACCGGTTGATAGTGACAAAACGAACCGATCTGCGATTTTTCCATCGAACAAAAATGATGAAGCCGAAAAGATCGAAAAAGGAAAAGGCTTAGTGCTAGCAAAATTAGTGACAAACAAAACCCCTAAGAAGTCGTTCAATTTCGCAGACAAAAGTGGTAGTGAAGAGAAAAAGTTGAGCGCTGCTGACGAAGATGAAGTTAAGAAGTCCGACAATGAGCTTTCCTCTACGGGAGCATACCTTCTTGTCTATGAGAAACGAAAAACCGACAATTCATTAGGGCAGAATACTGATGGTGGTGGCGCTGCTGCAAGAGCAAGAAAACCTATCGTAGCGCAAAGTCCCCCATTACTCAATTATCTACAAAATATTATTGATATGGAAGCAGCTGAATTCGCATCTCTGGTAATGTTGTTCATAAAAACGATGTTTTCATCTATTTTCTGCATTCTCTAGGTAGTAAAGAATTAATACGCTTTCTGGTTAACTATGACTTTAATGCTAATTGTAATTACAGAACTTGTTTTTGAATATAAGATAGAAGTCACAGAAGAATTTATGAAGTATCGTAGCCTTAGGGTATGAAAGACGCAGCGTTATTTGTATACTGTTCAGTTTCACTAGTTACTGTATGCCAATAAAAATAATAATTGTGAGAGTTAGTTACCACTTGCTCAAAAAATCGAAATTGGAATATGGTAAACACTTCATGGTAAAAAGTAAGTAGTAAATATCTAGTAAGCGCTTTCCAAAATTAAAGTAAAACTAAATACGTAGATAATGTATTATCTGTATTATATTTGTTAGGAAGCTGAGGCCGCTGCCCTGCGTTCAAAAGCTGCTTTGCAGGCTCAAGAACTTCGGGCCGAACTTGTAGAGGTATCGAAGCAACTCACATTCATCCCAGAAGATGGAAAGCAACCATGCTTTGTTGAAACTTCTTTTCTGGTTGCGTGGATAAGGGTTCGTTTAACAGTTGACAATGAGCTGGAGAACATTTCCAGCCAGTTTAGGCAGAACTTTTTAAGCTAACTTTAATAGTGTAGTTCAGATTAATAACGTTAGTCAATTGATCATTAAGAGAGTTCACTTTAAGAGCGCCATTAACTGTGCTGCTGCGACTGATCAATATATAGTTAAAATGTCCTTCGAAAGATTTTAGATTAAAAGACAGTTAACAAAATTATATATATATATATATATTAAGGCATTCGAAAATTGGGGCATCTAAATATTGCAACTTGTACACAGAAGCTAATATTATATCTGCTATATATCTTATAATTACGTTGATACCTGTGTTACATTCCCCGATTTGCAGGCTACTCGAGAGCTCATAAAAAAATTAAATGAAGAACAGGTGACTGTGCACTCTTCTTCCGCTGAAGCTAAACCTATTGTTGAAGAGACTACGAACTTATTAGAGAAAAGGTCAAAAAATCGAAATCGTAAATCTGCTGTTATTGGCTCAGAAGTTCAAAAGGACGGTGCCCAGGAGGAAGATGATGAACCAGATGATCTTACAAGGTACGTAAAACTTTGTACTGGAGTGTCATTTATGTCCGAACAGCGGTTTTCGGTTTTTCTATAAGAGAATAAAAATCCTACTTAGGATGCTAATACATAAAAATGTCGGAACATATTCCAACATTTAAAGCCAATGAAATTTGTTTAATAATAGGTATATAGCGACAGTTTCAGATACTTTTTTAAGTTAGTTATTTAGGTATTTGGCCTTGAAACCAACAAGGAAAAGTGAGCTTCATAAATTAGCCGTTTGTGTAACAATGTGATATAAGTTAGATCAATATGAATGACACCAATAACTATAACCACTACTAGAAAAGGGCGAGTGAGAATAACAATGGATACAGAATAGCCGTAAACAGCTAGCTATTCGAATTTGATAGTTAAGAAGCATCTTGGGTGTCGACAGTAGCTTAGCCATACAATGTAGTAATTGATCTTTCACCCTGTTACAGGTCCATTCGTTGTCCACACGGGCGATTAGCACCGGATGCTACAGGCCTTAAAATCATCTCAAATGACGGAGCTAAGTTACTTAAGGTATGGGAAAAAACAAATCTTTTGTTATGTCGAACATAATGTTTACTACCATTTCTATTATAAGCTATTTTCGTTGATATTCTTCTTTATTTCAAATCGTTATTGTACACTTGAATAGTTGGTAGCTTTTTGAGTAAACAGTGGCATTTTACATGGATTATAATTTTTGGTTGTGGTATATTTGGCACTGTGCCAGGAACTATGCCAAAAACATCAGCTGGTAGAAGCAGACCTTTTACGACAACAAGATGTACCACAAGAGTTGTGTCGTGAATGTGTCATTGGTCTGGCTCGCAGAACCTTATTAGCCGGTCGCCTTGCTGTAGACAAGAAGAATTTCGGTAAACTTCTTCGCACGAAAGACCAACCAATGTACTGGGTAAGTATTTCTTGTGACCCATTTTTAAAAAGTATCATTTATCAGTCGTAGTTTTCGGGATGTAGTTCCTCTATATACTAATATGCATGTATAACAGTTTTTTTACTCGGGAGTCCTAATTCGTTCGAAAAGGTATCAGTATTAAAATCACAATTGTTGCCTATCACAAGTGTTAAATACTAGGTGTAGTGTTGGAATTTCTCGTTCCATTTTTTCCTTTAGATCAGTAATCGGGCGTTACAATCATGGGACAAAATGGTAGAGCGACGGCTGACACGAGAGTTGGGTTTACGAACTGATGACGCAAACGAAGACTTCAACGGAGAACTCCTGTGCGAACACGGTAGCTTAGGGCTAAAATCTCGCAAACAGATTCCACAAGACGCGTGGCGTCTTATTAGGCAATATTTTCCTGATTGCGCGGAGTTTCCGTGCGATCACCCGGATTGTGCTTTATGTATGTAAGTACTTATCAACTATTAGTAGCCGTCTCGTGTCTATATGTTACGTCTTCTAATGGATCGTCTTTTCCCAGCACGAGAAGGCACGGCAAAGAATTAAGATAAAAGGCGTACCGATAATGTAGTAATCACGAATACGAACGACTTACCGGCTGCTGTGAACATGCGCGGAGAATTCTGTTTTTGAGCAAAAATAACCGTGTGTAGAATATCACATGCTCTTGACAAAGTACGGTTTCTCACCGATTGTAGCACTATTTCTAAAAAATTAAAACATTCCAGTAATAATACTACAACGCCTTCAGCTTATTGTGTATTTCTTGCAATTTCAGGGAAGAGTCGGAGGAAGCCCAGGCAGCACAGGCCGAGCGGAAGGACACGGCAGTTGGTTTGCGTGCTCGTCTTAGTGGTCTGATGAAAGCGCGACGGTCATTTGAAACTGACAAGCTAAAGGGGCATCTTTTACATGCGGAACAAGCTGATATCTTGCGAAAGTTCCTGCGTTACCCAAGGTTTAGCCAACAATCAAAAACCTGGAGTATCAAATAGTCAAAGTAGGAGTTTATGTATATAGGCGAGGTGTGCACATAGGTATCGGGAGTAATTAAATCGTACCTTGATTGCAGGGGACCTCGGCCTACCGGCTTCCGAAATAAACTTCTATGTCCTCATGGGGGCACTCTCATCGATCAGCCCGTATTGGTGTCAGGTGGGCTTTTGCCGGAAGAAGTGAGTGTTATTTTGTTAAATTACATAGGTTGTCGGGATCAAACGAAAACTCAACAAATGTACTCATTCAGATGTCTAGGGCTGATGATTATCGATAAGTCTTTTGGATTCAGAGATCAAATGTGTTTTTGAAACAACATTTGAGCCTTGTTTTCTAAATCTGCATTTATTTATTTAGCAGATGTTAGGTTCTCTGTTGTAAAATAAAATGGTGTATTTGTATTTGAATGCTGCACAACAAGCCGGTACTCCCAAGCAATATGCTTTTTTATAGAAAGGTGACACGTACTTGTATCAGCCTCAGAGATCTGTACATTTTATAATTCGGCATCAGCTTCAACCGCATATGTGACTCAGACTTCCGGATTTTTCTAAATAATTGTATTCCCAATTTCAGCTGACTGCGCACCTATGGTCCACTAAAACAAATTTCACTACATTCCATATTTGTATAATAGTTTAATAATAGCGTGCTACAGACTTTATAGCTCAACGCAAAGGTATTGGCGCTGAGTGACTTCAACTTTTATGAATGGCGAGACCCAATGCCCTTATTCAGTGTATTAGGAACAAATAGAATCGTTCTCATATCACGTTTTACTCGAAGTTTGCTGTAGGGCGTGTGTTTTATACAGCGCTCGTGTCAAAAAGCCAAACTTTGCTTTTGCTAGCTTGAGATGGTTAACAAACATACAATTCATATGTTTTTTTTGTTGATTTTTATTTTTAAGGTAATTTTTTTGTCGGACGCAGAATGGAACTTACTTTGTGAAGAATTTGCTGTACATGGTACGGTTGAAGTCACGCGAGAACTTGCTGAACCAAACGAGACAGCGCTTCTATCTTACGAGCCTGGTGGGTTGATGGTTAGCTCCTTACGTTAATGCCTACTTCAATGCAGAACTCGAACCGATCAAAAGGTGTCAAAAAAGAAAGGCATGTTTAAACAGCTCCATTCGTTTATCTAACATCCGAGCACATTTTGGTTGATAATTTCCGATTTTTGTGTTTCGAGCTCGAGTTCTAAGATTTTTTTTTCCAGCGGTATGCGAACCCTGCGTCGCAGATGTTCGGACAAAAGCCAAGCAGGCTGCCTTGAGCTTCCAGAACGAATGGGTCACTGTACAATTGGTTCCGTTAGACGAGCTGTTAACAAATAAGATCTTGCCTACAAGATCGGAACAGGTTCAAGACCAGGCGGAAACAGCTGAGGTGAGAATACTTGGATTTAACAATTAATATTTACTAACATACGAAATATATTACCAGTGATATTGATAATACTGCCGTCAGTATTGGCATTATTAATATGTTAGAACATCATGCTTCTAGTGGGTCATGTACCAAATAATGCAGCCTGTATTGGGCCCATTCCAAATCTGCCCTTATAAGTCTTCGAGATGAGAAAAGTTCAAGCTTTCTAGACTCTTTGCAAATTTATCATATTACAGACCTTGGAACAAGTCTATTTTTGGTTTAGAAAAAAAAGAAGTTTATCGATAACTGCGTTCTAGCTAGCTATCTAAAGTACGTGAGCGAATTCTAAAGAATCAAATAACCGAATACCTTGTGAACTGTATATGGAAAATCAATATATTTCTTTCAGGGTCTTGAACAGAGATCGAGCGACACGGTAGCGCAGGCAAAACAACCACTTCTTGGTCGTGGTAAACGCGTCAAAGGAAATCGTCTGGTGCAGATAAGCTCAGACGATAAATTCGTCGACCTCAAAGTCAAGGTTTTTGTTACTGCGTATATTTTGAAGTTCCCATCCCGGCGCACTTTGCGTACAAAATTTCACACTTGCTAGTCTTTCCCAAAAAGCATGTTTAGAAATCTTTTAAAATACGTTTATGTGTATAGTCCTGACAGTAGCTTATATTGCCATTAACTGCGTTCGTTTTGAATTTTTCAGTTAATGACACTGTTCAATATCAGCCCACTGCTTCAAGTAATCGTTCTTAATGGTTATATGATTGAGGCCGAGGGCGACGTACTGCTGAAAGATATTGGTCTTAAACCCGGCTCGGTAATCTATATCGGGGTAGGTAAAAATGCTGCTACTACTTATTAAATTTTATATTATTTTATTATTATTATTATTATATTATAATTAAAACAAAAAGTGAAATGCGTGTTTTAATTATGTACTATGTGCTGCGTGCTTCCCAACTAACAGTACTGGGAAAAAATTTTCAAATCGATTGTTGCCATTTTACCCTATTTATTTTGATCGCACATGGCTTTTTGAAGAGGGCAATATATAAAATAATGTCCATCTAAGAAAGGCGAACAGTATGAGCTGAATTTGATTCAGTTTTTATGTCGAACTCCGAACAGTCCCCCAAGTTTTGCTGATTTAAGAGAAGTCGCATTTATAAGATTTTGAATATCAGATAAAAACAGGTTGCGATCGATCAATCCAATTACTGTCTGAATATTAGCTTATTTAAATTTTTTTTAATTAATTTATTAATAATTTAATTCCTGCATAGCAGCTGGTTTATCTGTGTCAGTCTTATTGTTTATATAATGTCTAAAAAGATAAGAGGAACGCGGCGGCTGCTAGAAGTTTTTATCCTTTGAAATCAGCCAACCGACGAAGCCTATGTAAAGCAGGAGAATGCTGTTGCAATGCGTTCGGCTTGGGACCCTCTTTTGTTGGAACTAAACAGCATAACTTATGTTCAAAGGATCCAATTCTGGTCAATTTACCTTGGCAATAACCCGAGGTCTTTGACCGGTCTACTGTCGCCAGTAGACAGCCTTTCCCGCCAGTCATAGAGAGTTTACGTTTAACACAAATTCACTGAGGAGATTCGAATACCTGAAATATAGCGGATTCCTACATAAATCAGTACCGATTTTTGCGTTGGTTTGATCTAGAAGTCTTCCATAAAGTGGATGGGTTTGTCTACACATACATGTAATGAAGTCGCGGCTATCTGTTTGTGTTGAGATTATTCGAATCAGAGCTATGACTGCCGGAGGAACAATACTCGGTGTATAAAATTTTCTATCCCTGAAGAGTGAGTTCATTTTCCCAGACTCCCCAGTAAATACGCCGTGTATCTGAGTCCTCGGCAGTTATCAATGTTTTGAAGATGGTGTACTCTTCCAAAGCCATTTTGAACTCCGCGACCAATCATGACTTGTTACTATCTCAACAATTTTTATAACGGCAATAGGGGATAGAAACCATGTGCGAATCCTTTTCGAATTTGCTCTAGATGCAAGTCTTTTCTATAAAAGGAGAAAAGTGTTGTCATTTTAAAAGTGATCGAACGTTTGAGGATCGCAGTTTGTTCACATTGTAAAGCACTTTACGGTGCCGAAGCGCATTGTTTGTTAGTTAAAAGCCTTACGGGAACTTCGTAAGCAGTCTGTAGAGAAAGGTGCGCTGTTAGATACTAGCTTGAGGCAACTTGTACGAACATTCCGAGAAACTAGTTCGTCTTTAGGAGGACACATTCAGGAAAACCTCAGGCTGATTAAATTGAAAAAAACCTGAAACAAAAATTCAGTAGTTCGCTTCGGTGTGGCACACAAGAATGGTAACTTTTTAGGTCAAGCTTATGGCAGATCATTTAGATTTTCACTATTATCACACTCAGCAGTTGTTTTCAAAGAGCCCATAGAGGGTCTGTCATCAATATTTAAAAAGAAAATTTCTCAAAAGCCGATATTCAAGTCACCTTTCTATTCAGTTCTAATATTTGAATTCTAATATTTGGATTTTTGTATACAAACAGACATTGTACCCACGAAATGTTATGCTCCCCAGCTAATGCCTGTCTGTCCATTTCAATGAATTTACTAGGGCTTGGGTGTTACCGAATCAATGAGGTGTATACCGACAGTTCTACACAGATACTTATAAACCTTTAACCAGAATAGACAAGCTTTAAGCAGGAAATCATGCGTAATGAATTGTATTTCAACCCTGCTTTATATATTTTATTTATATAATAATTTAATATATTACTGCTTGTATTTTTGAACGAAACAAAAAGTAAGCTCCCTTCTACATGTACATATTTTTCGAATGACGAATGAGTCAAAAAATCTCGACCAAAAAGACAAAGCTCGATTTGAAAATATTTTTTTCAGGATACCTGAAGTTTATGAGGACTTACTATTTAAAAAAAGACTAGAACATCTATATATAATGAATACATCTCGATGAGTTTAGTGTGTCACCCTTTGAAGTGTCTAAATTTTCAACATGGCCTCGGTATTTATCTTTTTTTCTCTATTTTGACGTAGGAGAGGAATGAAGACGCAGACGAGCCCGACGATGATCAGGAGCCTAGTAAAAAACGGACTAAGAAAGTAGAACATGGCTTCGCGGGTAAGTTTTCACTTATTTAAAAGATAACTACTTATTATTATTATTGTGTGTCTGTCTGCGTTGTAGTAAATATTTATTTTGATGCGCCTGTCTATAATTTGCCTTGTTCACTTTTGCTTAGATTATATATCGATACGAACGTTTACATATTTATTCTTGGGGCAAGTAATATTTTCTGAATGAACTATTTCGATATTGATCTGATATAACTGTATCATTCGTTTTGTAGGCACGAAGCTGATGGGATGAATTTGCGCACACTTCGCGTGCTTTTCGCAAAATGCTGTCGAAGCATACTTCAATAATGATCGTGTTAGCGTTATTTATAACGCTAATTTTACTCAAGTTGTACATTTCTGCTATTCAAGGTTAATACCTTATCTGCGGATATAATATTATCGTGTAGTGTGTGGATCGGCTTGATTCGTCGATTCATCGTGTGGATGGGCATGATTCTGTGTATATGTGTGTACGATTGCCTGTTTGACTGCACTGATATTGTTCTTTTGTTTCTAATATTTTACACGTTTTTTATTGATTTTTGTTCCAAAAAACAGGTTATTCATACACAGACGATGAGGAAGTAAACGCAGATTTGCTGCCTTTGTGTAAAGCTACCACTTCTGAGATTGGACGTGAGCTACGATGCAAACGGGGAATTATGCCGGAAAAATATGTATATATGAGCTTAATCTCGGAGGAGTACATATATGACAAGTGTCTTTTCTGTAGGTAGACCTAAAGATCTGCCCAATAAGAATATGACGGCAAAATAAGGTTGTACTCCTGGCTTGCTGTTACTTTGTAAAAAGTTCTCTCGTTGTATTACTATTAGTATTATTCCTTTTATTATTATTATAAACATATTATATCGTGGGCGTAACATGTTGTCTTCTAAGCGCAGTGGGGTAGAGTTGATGGATCTAGAGGGATATGAAAACAGGACGTTTAGCACGTCAGAGACATAGAGGATCTAACGACGATTGGAAATATAATTAAGTAAGAATAAACATAAATATAAAGTTATACGAGAATCTACTGCCGTTATGTTTTTATTTGTTGCTGCCTATATCCCTCCAAGTATATCGATCTTACAAAGTGTGAGTGTGTCAAGATGGACTTAGATCTTTTTGCATGCAAAGCTCCACTATTGCTTGCCTTGGCTTTCGTGATAGCGAATCACTGGCAGTTATATGTTGCAAATTATCAAGAGTCAAGGGTGTTCTGAGAATATATATATTCACTACTTAAAACCGAAAAAGTATTGTACGGCTTTTCTCACCGAAATCATTCATTTAGTGTCCCATTTCCTAAATTTGGCATAATGTTGACATATGCTAGCTTTCATATTCAACGAAATGAAAATAAACTGCAATCTTACATCCTGTTTCTCGCTGATTAAACGCGCAAGCTTTGATTTTTTTCACGAAAAAAAGTAAAGAAGCAATGGTAAATTATCTGTGTAAAGTCCAAGTAACAAACCCGAAACGCATTGCTGTAAACTTAAGCGCACACCTCACAAATTCCGTGGTACCGATTCTTTGAAACTCTTTAAAACTTCACCATTCGAAAAGGCATCCACTTTGTTTCGACAGACATAACAAAGCATTCAAAAATGATAATTTTTCCTTACATTAAGCTGTAAACCTTAATTTTTCTGTTGAAGAGTACGAATTGATTATCAATCAATGTGTCCGACTTTTTTAAATGTAATCACTACTAATCTTGATTTAGGCATATATGTATCCATATAGACAAGATGGGCCTAAGATAGCTCGACACAACTACATGCATTCGATATGTATATACGTATCAAGTCCCTCTGGGATATTTGTACGTAACATTACAGTCTGGCACTCTTTGAGAAGGTCAGACGCGTTTGAATGCAACCTCTAATGGAAATACCCTTTTAAAGGATACACTGAAGAACCATTTGTGTCAAAAAAAATAGCTAACACCAAACTTAACGGACAATTTAAGCATGTAAACGAAACGAGAGAAAAACTAAATAAAACTGAACTCTTTGGGGCTCACTTATTCGTATTTATAACAGATATATTGAGAAAAAATTTAATCTGCTGCAAACAATGTCTGCATCACAAAGCAAAGTTGAGAAATACAGCACACTCTTGTATTTCTAGGCGATATGCTTCTTGACCCGGCACATATTTGATGTGAAAACGGTTAATGAGAGCTAGTGTGTTATCTCTCACTAGCTCTGATAAACATAAACCTTGATCAGACGTATTGCTTATTTTTTCACTCGCTTTTTCTACTTGGTTAGGTTATTAGATCTGCTAACACTATACATACTGTAGCACAAACTGTAAACTAGGTGTGAAAGGTATTCTTGCCGAGACAAATATTAGCGGTTGCTAGACTAGTGAGCTCGCTTTACCAAATAGCTTGATGTGTGATTCATCTTTAGGTGTCCTCCCATGCGGGTATGCATTAAAAAAGGGTCTCTGAATTTACACCAAGCCGGATAAGATAACAGAAAAGTGACACACGCAACACGAGATCCACAATGAAAACCAATTTAATTCTACAGCCGAAATGCATATATATATATTTAGTATAATACGCGGAACCGCCAAATGATCATGGAATTAATGGTATTTCCTAGAGTGCAATACATATATGTCATATATTCAAAGAGTTGTATCGATATTGGTTTCTTCATCATGTTTTTTAACCCCAAGTGAACTAAAACTGCGTCGACGGCCTGTGCAGATCAATAGTGAGAGGAAGACATCTAACATTATGCCCCGTAGGACACACGTGCAGCGGCGAATAGTGATGTCCGATTTAACGATACGACTGAACGTATTCCCTAGAGAAGGAATGTTGCTAAAGTAATAGATGCAGGATGAAAAATAGGCGGAGCTTTGGTAGTTGACGTGTGCACAGTAGGCGGTGCTAGTAGAGACGCTTTAGTAAAACCTTGTGGACAAAGCCGAGTCAGAGACGCAGACGTCCGTCGCTTTGAAGCCGATTCACGAAATAACCGTATTACGCAAGGTGTGTCCTTTAACGTGCTGCTATGGCATATTCAAATATTGTAGGTTATTAACCCTTGTGTATTTCCGATGATTACTCTGTATCAATGAACCGCATTTCTGATGATACTACGTAGCAGTGTGGTTTTCACCACAATACCTTCGTTTGAAACTATCTGGGACAGATAACGTTCAAAGCTCAGGACTAGGCCTGAGTAAAGTTTAAAAATCCATGCGTGATAGTCAAGTCCGTATCTATCAGCGAATATCATATGTAGAATGCGGCCGACATAGTCAATATGTCAAGATTCAGGACCGCGTGAGTTCCTCACGATCGTTGTTGCAAGAGTGTGTGCTAGGTAATTGGTGTTTGTATTGCGATTTTTCGAAAGCCCATGAGAGAGGAGCCCACTGAAGTTGTATAAAGTGTTTTATCATTTCGTTTTCCGTTTATACCTGTCTCATTTAATATATAATGCATCAAGCAACGTTGACGAAACCTGCTAACCAGTTTCAGACCGGGAAGTACAGGAAAATTTCATTATCGAAGTTCTGCTCCCAGGAAAAACGTGCGTTCAAAGCTTCAGTGAATTACAGATTGCTGTTTTTTTTTTTATCTCTTGGCCTTCTTTGAGCTATCGGTTTTATCACCGTCAAAAAGAGTAGAGCCATAACAGTACTTTTAGTAACTACGTAGTCATAACCTAGAGGTAATAGGTTCAGAAACATTAAGCATCTGTGCCTCAATGCAAGTAATTGTGCTTCCTCAGCTGAAACTCTATACAAACTGGGTACGGTCAACATTTTTGTAGTGATGCACGTTGACTTTACGGAGCCTTCCCATTATATATAAAAGTAGATAATTTCAAACACTGCAGGCATTAAACGTCCTCAAATATTTGCAAAGACGTCCTTTGACACTGAGCGTAATATTACTAATTGATCCATTCGCGTTATATAAAATACCTATTGTCTATGCAATACAAGTTAGCATTTTTCTCTTAGATGGTATGATTAAGTTCATTGCCCCAGCTGAAAGCAACAAAGATATCTTATCACAGTCTCGGACGGCTCCGAATTGTGCCATTCTCTTGCATTAATACTTAGACGACGGATGCACAGCATAAAATATGATATGAGATCCTTGATAAAATAAATAAACTGATCCCTCAAGAATATGGTTCGATCGTTCATCTGCCTGAATTTGTTTACCGTGTATGTACTTCCTAATGTTCATTGTAATTAATATGCCCTGAAAACGCTTTTGTACTATTTGCTGATTAGATGATGCTTTTACGATAGCTATTACAGTAGAATGCGAGCCGCTGTTCTAGCAAGCTAGGAAATGTTTTAAACTAAATTATTGTGATATGTCTTATAAAGTTGATTTTCCAGACCCACCATAAGCACAACTAGACGGTATACTTCAAACTTACTTAATAAAATGTTTCGAGTTTTACGTTTGCTAGTTAAGCGCTTAAGCATTACTTCAGATGACTGACTTGCGGCACAAATCAAAATGCGTGTACACCCTGATACGAACTTAAACCACCACGCGCTCCTAACTCTAGTAAACAATACAATCGTTACCCATTGCTCTATTACTGAGACATCTTGATCACGTAAATACGATACAGGAGCCTACGAGAACGTCAAATCAGGAAGCTGCGTCGAAAAAAAAGTCGCTTCATGCTCGTGTTGTTCTATACCGATTATTATATTCTATTTAAGACGATATCACATATTAGAGTAAGAACACAATTGAATTGGAGATCGTTTTTACAATGAATTTATTTTTACATTATATTTTATGCGGTTGTAATATCTCGGCCGTAGTTCGGGCTAGGAAAGGTTTGTCTCTCCTGACCAAGGGGGCCCCCATTAATGCAGAAACAATAATAAGTTATCCAGAGCAGTTTAGTCTTATTCTTTATGAAACGCTCACGTCTCACCACTAGGTTTACTTCATTTCATTTTTCTCCCTTTCTTTGTCCTTCTTTTTCTCGCGTTTGGCTTCAAGTTTTCGTATCCAGTCGATTTTTCTGTTTTGTAATCCCCCTCGCCTCAGTCTTTCTGACGTTTCGGGGACGTACGCGCCCTATAATTGTATTTGTACATCACCCGATAAATTGGTGCATTTACCTGATGCCGGTGAGGGGGCTGTTTACTTGCGGTTATTAATTACCTTAGCGCCTTTATCATTCTTATTCGTATGTACTTTCTGCGAACCACCCATATCTCCCCTCGCATTCGTTTCCTTTTGCTATTGGTTGTTTTGCATCTCTCTCTCTCTCTTGCTCTCTCTCTCTCGCTCTCTCTCTCTTTCTCTCTCTCACACACATCTTCCCTTTATTTATTATATTTATCTAAGCCTCGTCACCGGTTTACATTTTCGTTTACACATGTTGCCTTAGATTATTTATCAACTGCTCGTTTATGCTGTTTTTGCGTTTCCTGTATGTTATTGTTATTGTTATTGTCGTGTTATTGTTACTGTTGTTGGTGTTGTTGCCACCTCCACGTTTTTCCCATGTTGTTGTCTGCTATTATTGTTATTATTATTATTGACATTATTCGTATACATATTTATATCTGTCATTGTCGTCATTATCGCCGACGTCATCGTTATCGTCGTGAATAT